GGTATCAAAATTTATGCACTAGCATGTCAACCTTCTCTGCAAGTGTTGTGTTTTGGTTGCTGCTTACAGAAAACACAATAAAAAATTGGTGAGGATCAATTTATGCACTAGCATGTGACCTCTCTCTACAAGTGTTGTGTTTTGTTGCTATTACAGAAAACACGCTGAAAAAATTAGGTGAGGATCAATTTATGCACTAGCATGTCACCTCTCTCTGCAAGTGTTGTGTTTTATTGCTACAACAGAAAACACGTTGAAAAAAATTTGGTGAGGTTAGCTTGCCAGACACGGTCAAGAGAATGAAAAGAAACGTGCTTTCAGATAAGCTGTCTACAAGTTACATTTGACTAGGTGCCAAAGGAAAATTGCATTTCAGAAGACAGCATGCTGCCAAATCCTGCTTGGTATAATTCTTTCTACGCTTCTTTATTTCTTCAAGCAAATCTCTCCATCACCAATTGCATTGTTGCTGGCATATTTGGAAAGCATATTTAGCAGCCCAACACCTGAATGTTGAGATCTGATTATGGTGGCTTTTGTGAGCTGCAATCAGGCATAGGCACAAGAGTGCTTTTCAACTCAGTGGTTTGACAATTCACTAGCAAAGAAAGCTCATAACGTTAGTAAGTCGGACCAGTCAATGGATATAATGAACCAAATTAGTTTATCAAAAAACAAACAGACCGTAGTGTGTTGAGTATATCAATTTCTGCAGAGTTTGACACTCGTTTGGCGCGGTTCTTTCAAAACTTCCGCGCCTACCTTACAGCCACGTCTCGTGTGGCCGAGAGAGCCGTCCTTCTCACACAGCGCTCAGCGGGTCACATGACCGAAGAAGCGGCGCCGCGGTGCAAAGCGATTTCCCACTCATGACGGCAATGACTGAGTCTCTCCTGCTACCATAGCTGCTAGCTTCAGCACCGAGAAAGAAGAACTCTCCGCGACAGCTTTCTCTCTTTTTTTTTCCTTGCTCTCCGCGTGCGGCCTTGAAAGGAGAACGGTCTCTACGTGCAGAGACAGAAAAGAGAGAAGCGTAGCACAGGCGTGTCGCAGATCAGCATTTGAGAGAGAGCAAACAATCCGCCACAGTCTTTTCTTTCCTTTTCTTCTTTTCCTTCTTTGTGCGCAGCATTGAGATATGCCGCTGCGGGATTGGGCATGGTGCTGAGAGCATTTTCGAAGCGCGGTATGTTCGAATTAACCGTCGCAAGTGCTTGCACGTTCGAATTACAGGGCGTTTTCACCCATTTAAATACACATAGCTTTGAGCGGACCTCAGCGTGAGTTCGAATTACCCGAAAGTTTGAATTAATGAGATTCGACTAAGTTTATTTTTCGTAGCATGCGTGGCCGCGTAGTGGTACATCAGGCCGCGAGGCGGTTTCCTTCTTTGCATGCATACAGGTGTGCGCCCATATGAGCAAACATTGCCACAAACCGTTATTATCGATTTAACAAAATAATATATATATCGAAATAACTGTGGCTCCCCTTCAACTTCATTAAAACGAGGTTTAAGAGTATGTGTTCACTGTTGAATTAGTTGCATTATCGTAAGAACGTCAGGACGGAAAAAGACGAAAACATTCAAAAGTGCAGGAACACAAGCAGTTGTGTTTGCATTTTGCAGAATTTAATTGCTCTTTTCATGTCAAGTTTTAATATTATTAACTTCATAACTGCTCTCTCAATTGCCACCATTGAAGTTACTGTCACTGAAATTTCGGAGACTCGAGTCCACTGTTATGAGTACACATACATACTAAGTATATTTCGTGGCTGTTGCATCTCATACTGTACTGTATGAATACTTATAGACCTGTTTGAAGGAAGTAAAAAGTCGATCTGATTTTGTGTTAAAGGAACAGTGGCAACTGCAATTGCTGAGGTTACTTATTCTAAATGAAATGATTAAATCTGAAGCAACATTTTCTGAAGCGACATACTCACAGCTACAATCATCAATTTAGATGCATTAGAAAGGTGTAGCTCTTCCAGATCTGTTGATGTGATCTTATAGGATCCGAGTAAAATGTGCTCCCAATTCTTACTTCCGCGAAAACTCGTCGGTGCACAAGGTTCCATCTCGGGTAATACAATACCAAAAAATTTGCAAGGACTGCAGGTATCTAAAAGAAAGGTCGGTAATTACCTGGTGGGCTTACGCAAGACAAATATTAAAAGAAGATTTCGCGCGTCACACAAAGATGCACACGCTCAATCATAACTACCGCAAGCGCGCTGCGCATGCGATTCCATGGGCACTAGCGAAAACTGTCTCGCCCTGGTGGCGCCGCAGCGGTGGTTCGGGAACTAGACCTGTCACGCCTGTTTTGGAGCACACGGCGGGCCGTACTCGTGCATTCTTTCATCCAGTAGCCGTGGCACGGGAATATAGAAAAGGCTTTCTATGCCTGGTTTTTAGTAGTGCGCGTGAAGAACATTCTGGTGAATGGCCCGATGCTGATCGCCAAGGCCAAATGGTTTGCCGCTGCACTCAAGAAAACAACTTCGCCGACAACAGAGGGTGGCTTCACCCATTTAAGCAGCGGTACAACATTGTTGGCAAAACCAATTCTGGCGAAAACAAAGCTGTCAGCAGCCAGGACACCCAATAGTAGATGACGAAGGAGTGGCCGGAAATCTCCGCAAAGTTTTTTCCCGCTGAGATCTTCAATATGTGGCGTGACGTGAAGAGGGACACAGTGGTCAACTGCTCCGCAAGACAGGCTTCAAGACGACGGAACTTGCAGAAACCGGTGAAGACGACGACGACGAGCGCATATGCATTTCGCGAGTTGACGTCCCGCTTCCTGGCAGCAATTCCACACTGCGGATGACTTCGCAGAAGCGGGCTGCAATGTTCAGGCGGACTTCTCATGTGATGAGGAGGATCGTCCAGACGAGGCGCTAGCTACATGTGTGTACTCCGCTGCTGAGGTGGCGGCAGCGTTGACATCATTTGCCGTTGTATCGGCAACATGGAAGAAACCGAGCTGTCGCACCTAGACAGCCTTGATAAGATCGAGACTAGGGTCTTCAACATTTCAAAAAGGAAGACGCTGGCGGAAATTAGCGATTTCTTACATGCAAATAAATCATTCTGCTGCTTAAGGGACCAAATCCAAGGCAGAGATCACAAGCAAGCACAGTTCCCACAACCGATGAAGACAACTTACATGAACACTCGTGATGATGAACATGTATGAAGAAAGTAGATGTGCCAAATAAATTCCTAGACTAGCTCTCCCCCTCCCATGCAAAAACAATCATCCTGACGCAGTTTAAAGCGAAGGTCTTGTGAAAGGCTTCATGCGTGATACGTGGAATATCTCTGCTGCCCGGCAGCAGTGGTCCGTTGGAAAAACCAGTGCCACATGATGATGAACCAGAGTCGTTCTCTCCAAGACAGTGTAAGGGGCCCATGAAGCGTAACTGAAATTTGTCGCACCGGCCAGTAGTGTGAATGGGTGTAGGAAGCAGCACAGGAGAATTCTGCGACTTATCCGGGCACGATCCCAGACAGTCAGCAACTTCATCGGTGCAGATGATGATATAGCTGTTTCTGACTGCATCGATGCTGAAATAATAGTTGTCGTAGCCCGTGCCCTGGAAGTGTACCCGCGCGGTTATGAATATGCCAACGCCTTTGCTGCCGCCACAAACCAACCGTTTCGCCATGCTACAAAATTTTCATCAGCATCTTAGATCAATCAACGCTGTTGTGGCTGAAGGAGCTGAATTCACTTATTTGAAAAGCTTCAATGATATTGAGGATGGCAGGAACTTGACCGCTTACAAGAAGCAAGACAAAATTACGGACTATTTTTATGTGAAATAAAGCGCAGGAACTTGCTGTTAACACCTTGCTCTTCGTTTTACAATGAGCGAATCGTTTTATATTCGTACTTTTCACGATTTCTGAAACCTGAATGAAATGCTTCAATTTAGGCTTTAAATGCACATATTTTGTACTTCAAATTATCGATATTTCGATATATTTTGCAATCCCTTCGAGTTCCATATACCGTATTTACTCGCATAATCTTCGCACTTTTTTTGCCGGAAAACGGATGCAAAGTTGGGGGGTGCGAGAATTACGCGGGGAAAGCTTCCTACGAAAACTCGGAGAGCGAAAAAGAAAACGAAGTGGCTGCAAATCGGAATTCTCACAAAAACACCTTACAGCAAGGTTTAAGAAGTACTAATTAGAACTTAACTCAACAATAAAAGCAGAGGTTCAACACAAGGCAAGATTTATTTGAGACACAAAAATGGAAGCAAATAGTCGAGAATTAGAATACCATACGCGAAGCTTGTGGGCGTTGCGGGCATAGAGGTAATGGTCGGCGCTCAACAGGAGCCCTCAAAAAATAAGCCTAGGACGTCAGTATTGGGCTGATGGCTATTTAACAGAATCGTCCGCAGTTCCCTTCTGAAGAAATAAAGTTTATTATCAATCCAAGTTTTAGGCACACGGCAGGCCCAACGCATCTTGGTGGCTTTCAGCTGCCGTCACCAGTAGCGAACACAAAACTCGTAGGCTCCGAAGGGCCTACCGGCGGCCCTGTTGCCGTTGTTTAGCGCATGATCTATCACTTGCAACTTGAAGCTGCCGTGTGGCTTCAGTATCGCCCCATAACGTACCAAGATTACCGACACAACACACAAAACACGCCGCAACGCGCACTGACCACTTCGGCTTGGCTTGGATTTGATTGGATCTCCGTGCAATACGTTTGATGTTTAAGAGATGCCGCGAGATGGTGCGCGCTATCATGATCAATGGCTGGAACGAGCAGACGACATCATTGCGGCAGTTTTCGGGGGTGCTATAATTACTCGAGGAAAAAAAAAATCGTATTTTTTTGGGGCGATGTGGGGGGTGCGAGGATTATGTGAGTAAATACGGTATATCCGGTATCGACTGTATTCTATTCGATTTATATTCACACTTCAGAATTCAAATTCGGTTCACGCTCAAAATTTTAAGGACCCACCTGTTGGGGCAGAATCTTGACCAAGTCTTCAGTGACTGGCACTAATGCCGCGGCTGCCACAGCACTCACGTCATCATTTTGGTCTTGAAGCCCCTGAAACACTGGCTCAAACACGACTGGGATCAGAACAGATGTCAGATCCTGCAAAGAAGCAGAGTCGAGGCAAACGTTTAGTCTCCGATATTCAACTGCGAGAGTTTACTATCAATGATGATAGATTTCCTAAGCATGTATATATCAGATAACAAGCGGCCAGCTGGCCCTGGCGTTTGAAAGATACACTATGACTAGAAGCTATTGTTACAGTAAAACCTGCTTATAACGAACCATTCAACATCACCTAAATTGTGTAGTGTGAATATGAGCGCTGCTATTTCAATGAAAGTAGTATTTATAACCCCTCCACTGTGCAAGGAGCGATGTCTTTATTAGCATTTGCTGCGCCTGTCAATCATTTGGCAGGCAGACTGAGTAACCAACCTAGCAAAACGAGCAGTGTCCCGTCAATAGCGCTGAGAGCCCCTTCTAAATCTCAATACGTTTTTCCACTGGGCAAAAGTTTACTGCGCCAGATGCAAGAAATTCGCTAACCGCCACACCTCCCCACCCCTCCTTTCCCACCTTTTTTTTTTTTTCTTCTTTCACGGGGAGGGGGGGGGGGGCAGAGGGGCTACGTGCTGCTGCTTCGGCTCCCTTGAAAAGCATGTTCGATCAGGTGAAGTAACAACGGCGCGCACCCATTGACCCAGCGACAGTACCGGACATCTATCGCTAGGACCGCGGTCGGCAGGATGCAACTTCAAAACAAAAAAATGTTTTATGTGCCACTGCTACGACAATCGACGTGGTCGCTGACAACACCAGCGTTCAATGGACCGATGAGCGCGCAGCATTGTTACTTTATCTGATCATAATTTAAGCACGTCACCTTGATCATAATTTAAGCACGCCAGTTGGGGTCAGTGTGTTTTGACGGATGGAAACTGCAGGTGGCTGATGTGGCCTGCATTTCTCGCCGAAACTAGCGCACCTGAGAAAGTTTTGAGGCTGGCTCGGCATTTTGGCGCAGTCTAGCGCAATTTCAGCAAATTTCAAGGTTTTGGCACAGCTCGGTGCAACAGTCGGAAATTGTATTAAATTCGCACAAGTGGCATAGCTGTTGCACCTCATCCTTGATATAACGAATTTTGTCACGGACAATATTGAAATTTTGCCCGGGATTTCGTCACTGTGGCACGAGCATGCATTTTCCGCGGTTGCCCTTCCGCAGACGAAGCATGAAGTAATGGCGGCGCACAGAGCACGCTCGTGTTCCTGAGAACTCCCAAGCGAGAGTGAGCACTCATTGTACGTGATTGTGCACGAAGCGGGCACGCAGGCCTGCACCCCTTGAGCCGGCGTTGCCGCCATTTTTGCCATCGCAGGCACACGTGCGTATGTGCCCTTTTCCTCCCTCCAAACCGAAAAAAAAAAAAAAACACTTTTGCATTGGCAGTGCCATGCTTTTATGTAGTTAGCATAACATATGTGGGGCCGCGATGCATACAGAGGGCACTTTACCGCATATCTTTCTGTGTTATCCGTGTTATTTTACTGCGCCCACATGGTGTAGCCCCGGACAACGCTCTGCTTTGCTTTTTAGATGCGGTGTCCAGCCTGACCACCCTTACTGCGCATGCTCCAACTTTCACCCCTCTCTGCTTGAAAACAAAGCGTTCTTGTGGTTCCGATGAAATCCGTACCTTATTTCTCGAGCGATATGGCGAGCTTCTTGTCAAATTTCTCTTCATTTTGTTTCATGTCTCACTCATGACTGCACAATAGCTAAATCAGTGGAAGATAGCCCAGGTTGTCCGTGTCTTCAAAAAAGGTGACAGATCACTTATACAAAACTATCACCCAATTCCATTAGCATCCCAATGCTCCAAACTTGTAGAGCATATTATAGCTAATTGTGTGCCTAAATTTGTGAAAAAAACTCCACGCCTGCGCGGAAGGCGCAGCACAGTCACAGCAAAAGCTAGAAGAGCGGCTTTTCAGAGCTTTTCAAAACATTCATTGGGTAACTACTGCAAGCACACTTGCTTGATACCCACAAGGGCATTATTAATAAAATTTTGGGTAGTAGGCCGGCATTTGCTATGCTATTTTCCTCATTCTTCTGAGAAGCGTGGTATCCTCTAAACACTTGCAAGGAATTTCGTGCCAATTGTTCATGCAGTGGCTGACGGCGCTGAGGAATTATGCCTGAAGTGGGTATGTGCCGCGGTTTATAGAAGAACGAAAAAACATTCTTTTGTAATGGGTTGGAGCATTGGACGGCCCACTCGTTATAGTATTCCCTTTGCGCGACAACTAGTTGTGCTTTCGCTGTTTTGAACCGCTTTATAGGTCGTGTTACCGCGATTGCTTTACCGACATCAAGCCTGCCTAAGGCAAGTTTGTCAACAAGTCACAAGCACCGGCGCGGCTAAGTGGTAGAAAATAGGGCTGGCACCCAGCAGACCTGGATTTTGAGCCCCACTGTGTCTTTGGTGCTAGGTTTGCCAACAAGTCACAAGCACCGGCGTATCTCAGTGGTAGAATACTGGGCTGGCATCTAGTAAACCCGGGTTTCGAGCCCCACTGAGTCTTTAGTGCTAGGTTTCTTTTTTTCTTATTTCACGCGATGCGGTTACGGACGCCGGCGGCGGTGGCGGACAACTGCGCGTTACCCGAGTTGTCATCTCATAACAGCTTTCGCAGTAAAATAACGCTGCATTAACATGCATTTTAGCGTGGCTTTCAGAAAGGGTATTCAACGATAACCCAACTAATAATCGTGGTTCATTATTTCACTTCATCTCTTGATATTAACGGCCAAGAAAACTTAATATTTCCTGATTTTACCAAAGCTTTTGACAAGGTTCTGCATGATAAACTAATTATAAAACTTGGAATTCTCAGCATCCCTGAACACATCAGATGAATTTCGGCGTACCTGACTAACAGAAAGCAATATATTGACATTAGAGGTCGACTTTCCTAAAGTTTACCAGCCACATCAGGGGTGCCACAAGCCGGTGTCCTAAACTTTCAGCTTTTGTTAGTTTAAAATAATGATATAGTAAACATATTGACGCCTGGTGTTCTAATTTGATTTTTTGCAGATGACTGCATATTATTCACACATTTTTCATCCCAACAATCAAGTTGAGCTAAACAACAATTTAAATAACGTATTCCAGTGGTGTGAAAAATGGGGATGGTTCTCAACGGCCATAAAACTGCATTCCCCTATAACGTGTAAAACAACACATCGGCTTGTTTCTTCGCCACTTAGACAAGTCGACAGTTATAAATACCCTATTATGCGCACTAGCATAATAAACGCACCCCCTACCTTCATCCACAGCGGTCCTGTTAACCAAAACATGGCGGCTCCTTGCCAGCGAGATCTCTTCCATTTTTTTTATTATTATGCCGACCTCCTCCGGCCACCTCGGCTCGCCCCTCCCAATCTTTGCACGCTGCCGCACACCATATTGTTTATCTTTCTATCTGCGCGCAGCACGTCCTTAGTCTTTTTTAATTATCTATGCACCACAGCGGGGCTCACGAACGGTGCAAGTGTAGAGACATCGCAGCTGATAAGCACACAGCGAGCGAAGGTCAAGAAACTGCCTGCGCCAACCGAGGGTCGCTTCTTGCAATTACAAAGCTTCAAGGCCCAACCACATGCACACAATTTTTGAACGGCAACGACAGCATTCGCTGTCACCATGGCTGTCGCAAAGGGCCCTGGGTTGCCATCGCATTCCAGGTTTCTGGAAAACCAGAAGAAAGTCACTAGTCATCTAGAAAGGATCATGACGAATATCGTAACATGATAGCACCCCCGACTTTCACTTTGGTTGCAGTTTGCTTTTTGTGCTTGTTACCCGCACATACTTCAACGAACACAAGACATAGGCTACCTTTTCTATCCACAGTACCTGTCATGTGGACAGCAAGGCAACGGCCATATTCTGTGATTAATCTTGTTATCGACAGTTCGTTTTGATGATTCAGGGGTAGCTTGCTGCAATGTTGGTCACTTACTACAATGTCAACGACAGTGGCGCAGTCATCGTGCGAGGTTGCGGCAAAGTTGGCAAAGTGCGTCTTAGCGCAAGCTTCTGGGCGCCCCTCGAGATTGCAGCAGATACCACTGTTGAGGTTATACAATTGCGAGAAAAGATAGCCGCAAAACGCTTTTATGGCATGCGCAGGCAGCGCAGGGACAGCTTGTTAAAGATAGTGCCATCAACCACCGAAGATGAGTGAAGTGCAAAAAGGAAGCTGTTCGCTAACACTGTATGCGTAGGTCAATAGCGAAAGGCTCAGTTACCTGACTTTTTTTTTTTTTCATTACGGCATTTGTGCTCATCCCAAAGAAGTTTTCATAAAACTTGCCCCGCATAATAAATACACCCCAAACTTTGCTCAGATTTTTTTTTTTTTTTTTGAAAAAAAGTGCATTCATTATGTGAATAAATATGGTACTTAGGTGTTGCAATAACAACTATCTTATCTTGGAATACACATATCAATATCATTTGCTCATCAGCACTCAGAAAGCTCTGCTTTCTAAAACAAGCTTCCCGATGCCCCATGCAATGTTAAATTACTGTCCTATTATTCTTTAATTACACCTAAATTAGAATACACCAAAGCATTATGGGGCCCACACACTCAAACCTACATCAAGTACCTGGACAGAATACAGAGGAAAGCAGCCTGGTTCATTTCTAACAAGTTCTCACGAGCTTAACCCTCCTTCTGAAATAATGAAAGCCAATAGCATATTCCTTCTTAAGGGGAAATGTGGGTCGAAAAACGCGAGTTTTTTTTTCAAAATTACCGATTTTTAATTTTTGCCTGTTTTGATGAGATTAGTCCCTGTATTGTTATAAAAAAAATACAGGTCGAGACTTAACTGGAAATGCTTTGAAATTGCACCTAAACAGCACAAGGCGCCTGTTAAAAGGTCAGAAGTGTGCAGCCTTTGAGCACCTTGCTACCGATGATGCGCCGCCGCTCGCCATTGTTGATCGCATGAGTCGAAGAGTCGGGCCTCACTCTTCAAGCAACAACAGTTTCCCTTGCAGATGCAGCGCGAG